TTTATTGTTATATAAAACCAAATTTTTTAAGAAGAAAAAAGGAAAAATAAAAAATATTTGACAAAGAAAGGAAAAAAGGAAATTTATTAGTTCTGAAGGGAATGGACGAAGTTTCTCCAACAAAACATTTTACAAGTAAACCATTATTACCTACTAAAACCCCAAGAGACAAGGCAATTAGCCATTATGTTAATGCATTAAATTCACCAAGAAATGTTGTTAAAACAGAAACACCAGAATGTGGGATACAAATAATTGATGGAGATGGGAATTTTGCATCGACTGATACAAGAGAAAGACCATCATTAAAAAATTATATTTTATCAAAACCAGAATTCTTAAAACGAGGAATGGATTATAATGCAGTAGGTATATTAGGTGCTCAAAGTAGTGGAAAATCTACATTATTAAATTATTTATTTAATACAAAATTTAGGATATTAAATGAAGTTATGGGAAGAAGTAGAACTACACATGGAGTATGGATGGCATTATCAGGAAAAGAATCAAATATTGTTGTATTTGATTTAGAAGGTACAGATGGATCAGCACGAGAAGATGATTATTCATTTGAAAGAAAAACATCATTATTTAGTTTATCAGTATGTAGTGTGTTAATGGTTAATTTATGGTCACATGATGTTGGAAGATTTCAAGCATCAAATATGTCATTGTTAAAGACAGTGTTTGAATTAAATCTTCAATTATTTGTCAAAGAAGAAACACCTAAAACATTGATTGTTTTTGTTATTAGGGATAGAGAAGCAGATACACCTTTTGACCAAATAGAAAGAGATATTATGGAAGATATTATGAGAATTTGGGATACAATAATTCCACCAGAAGAATTTATTAATTCACCAATCAATAGATTTTTTGATTTTCAATTCACTTCATTACCACATTATGAACATTTCTATGAAAATTTTGTTGAAGAAGTTAATTTAATGAAAAAAAAGTTTGATCCAAAGAATAAAGATACATATTTCTTACCACAATACACTAAAGAAATACCAGCAGATGGATTAAGTTGTTTTTGTGAACAAATTTGGGAAACTATTAAAGATAATAAAGATTTAGATTTACCAAGTCAACGAGAAATGTTATCTCGTTATAGATGTACAGAAATTTCTAATCAAATATATAAAGAGTTTAATGATAGTATTAAAGGAGAAATGAAAACATTAAAGAAAGGAAATATTATTGAAGATTTTAAAAAAGTATTTACTAAACAAATAGATGCAGCGTTAGAAAGATATAAAGAAGTTACAGAAAGATATATGGAAACAATTGTAGAAGAGATTGAAGAACAATTAAAAAAACAATTATGTGGATTAGTTGAGTCATTATTTGAAAGACAAGCGGAATTAATGGAGAAAGCTATTGGAAAACGACTCAAAGGAGAATTTACAATAATTAGAAATGAATATGCATTATTATATAATAAGAAAGAATTTAATCCAATGAAATATCAAAAATATAGTCAAGAGTTATCAAGAACAAAAGCAGTTATTGAACGAGATTGGAGAAAACAATTTGATGATTCAGTCCCCAAATTTTTAGCAGAAAAGACAAAAGAAAAGTTTAATAGTGTTTGTAAAGATATTGGAATTGCATATGAAGATTCAGTATCTAAAATGACAGAAGTAATGAAACAACATTTTGGAGATTATCTAGAAAGTACAATAAAACCAAAAATTACACCATATTTAGAGGCATGTAAAAAAGATATGTGGAAAAATATTAGAAATGTTATTAATATACAATTTACTAATGGATTTAATAAATTAGAAGAAGGATTTAAAACATGTAGTAATATGAATAAAGATACTATTGAAGAAGAAATTAAAAAAAGTAAAACAGATATTTTAAATATTATAAAAGAATTAGTTATTAAAAGAAAAATAGAATTACCATATTTACTTGAAAGAAAATTTAATAATATGTTTAGATTTGATAATAAAGGATTACCAAGAAAATGGGAACCTACAGATGATGTTGATACACTTTATTTTGCAGCAAGAGATGAAACAGAAGATATTCTTGATATGTATTGTTATTTTAGAATTGAAGAGAGTGATGATCAATATAAATTTACAATTAATTATAGAGATGGAGATTTACCAAGTGAATCTATTGAAGCATTACCTAAAGGAGCTGATGAAGAGAAAGTTATTTTAAATCATGAAGAACGTAAAGAATTAATTGAAACATTAAATGGTTTCTTTGAAAAAGGATATTTAATAGCATTAAGAGAAAAAGAAAATAGTGAAATTAAATATCAAATTCCATTATATTTGATTGTTCTAGTTGTATTCTTTGGATTTGATGAATTTATTGCCATATTAACGAATCCATTATTATTCATTTTAACTTTAATTATTGGAGGTGGTGTTTATATTGGATATAAATTAAATCTTGGAGGTGTTGCAAAGAATTATATTCAATATTTATTGTCTATGTCATTATCTTCAACAATGGAATATTTAAGAACTATCCCATTCTTTACACCATTAATTGATAAAGTTTGGCCTAAAGATGATAACAATACTGAAGAAACTCAAGAAGAAATCAAATAAAGAAAAAAAATAACAACAACAATTCTTCTTTTTGTTGTTTGAAGTGTTGATGAACAATGAACTAATTCAATTTAAAACAAAATTCAATGATTTAAAAATAATTGTTTCTTTGTTTTACTTAAAATTTCTATAATAAATCTAATGTTAGATAAAGAAAAAGTATAAATGAAGGATTAAAATAATATTCTTTTTAGAAATTCATTCTTTAATCAATACGTTTGATGTAGAAACTAAAAAGTATACAAACTAATCTTTTTAAAAATCATTTTCATTGAGACAATGACATACATCACAGAAAATACATATAACTACAATATATTTAGTTATAAAGATATTATGAATCCTAAACCAGTTGATTTAGAAATAAAAAGAGAAGAAAAGAGTGAAATACAAACAATTAGTAATACAATAGATGCATTTATTGAATTACCTGGAAATAAATATTCTGATATTATTCCAACATATCTAAAAGAAAATAATATTTCATTAAAAGATATTTTACTAACAATTCATCAAATTAGTAAATCAAAAATTAATATAAATGAAAGAGGTATTATTTCCCAAATAACTGATGTACATTTTGTATCAACTTTATTTTATTATATGAGATTATGTGTATTATCTTATGGAAAATGGGTCTATATTCAAGGAGATAAAGATGATAATATTTTTAAACGTGCTTTTACTATTCAATCATCTTCAGAAGATGTTGATTGGAAATTAGCTCAAAAGTTATGTGGTTTAGATAAAACTGCATTTGTCAAATATCAATGGACTTCTGAAATCTTTGACCCTGCCTATTTCATTGTTGTCATTGACTCATTAAAAACTATTTCTGTTGTCATAAGAGGTACTTTTTCTCTTAATGATGCTAAAGTAGATTTATGTGCTAAACCTGTACCTTATACTTTTGCTGGAATCAATGGATTTACTCATGCTGGAATCTATAAAGCTGCTCTTAATAAATATCAACAAATCATCCCAACACTAAAAATGCTTCGACTGAAATATCCTTCTTTTCAAATCACTATTGCTGGTCATTCTCTTGGTGGTGGAGTTGCTCAATTACTCACTTTAGAAATTAATAAAAATCACCCTGATTGGTTAGTTCATGGGTATTGTTTAGCACCTGCATTAGTTCTTTCATTGAATATAGCTTCATCACCATTAGTCCGTTCATTGATTGACTCAGTAGTATCAAAAAATGATATTGTTCCTAGACTCTCTTTTGACTCAATTAAAAATATCCAACCATTAATCAATGAGTTTCGGTCAATTTACAATAATACCAGTTTAATCTCTCTTAACTCAAAAGAAACAACTGAACAATACCAACAAGCTTTCAATCGTTTTTATGAATCAACAAATACTATTGATCCATCAGTCTTAGTACCACCAGGAAGAGTATTTCATATCCAAAAAAGAAAAGAACAAAACATTAAAAAATATTGTTTGTATGAACGAGAAAATAAAGAGTTTGGTTGGCTTTTTATTAAAGTATTAAGTCTTAGTGATCATTTTCCATACAATTATTATTACGCATTATCACAAGTTGTTCATGAGATGACAATAGAATAAAAAGTAAT